ACCACACCCAGTGCTCCATGCAATACGTGCCCTGCATAATACCCACCATCAGGCTCACCCAATCCCCCACCTCCCTCCCCTCCAAAACCCTCAGTTTATTTCTTAAAGTCCACAGTCTCTCCCTCTGATTTCTCCCAACTCACTTCTCCACTCCATCTCCCAATATCTTCTATGTTATTCCTTAGGCTCCACAAGTTAGTGAAACCATATGATAATTGACTCTCTTCTGCTTGACTTATTTCACTCAAAAAAGTCAAAGTTCTTCACTGGTTAAAGAAGAATTTTGGTAGTCACCAAAGTAGAACTTTATAGTCTTCACACAATCTGTAAAGGTGTTAAAAAATCATAACTCTTATTTCTCATGGTATACATTTTCTGGACCACATAATTATATATTGCCTTAGATTGTATTCTACAAGATTCTACTAACCTTGTACAGGCATACATATATATGTCTGTATGTTCAAAGATATTTCAGGGCTAAATATTACATGGCCTTTGTATCTCCCACTTAGAATATCTAACAGAGCTAGGCACATAATTTTTTTATTTTGGATTATTTAAAAATTTGATGGTCAATTTATTCATGTTTCTTAGTTGATCATATAGCTGACAAATATAAAGCATTAAGTAAATACCAGCTGAAAAAATAAATGAGGTTGGTGAGATGACATGAAGGGGCTCAGCATGTTATGACCTCAGATACCTTCACATTGGGCTATAGGAAAACAGAGACTATTTTTGGCAACACCTCTTGCACTCTTGACATAATATCTCATGTAGGATATCAACCTTGTTAATCAGCCCAGGCAAGCTCTTGGTTTTCTCTCAAACATTTGTGATTCACCAAGATGCTTTCTTTGTTTTAGCGGCTCCCAGTGGGAAAGGCCATCAGTGTTCCAAAAGAAAGGATTACAGTTGGGACTTAGATGTAGATTGATTAGAAGCTGGAATCTCAGGCAGAAGCTGAGAAAGTATCTATTTTTTTCACAGTCAGGACCTAGATATGTATTAAAATTAGAAGCCTGAGTCATGAGCTTTTAAGGTTTGCAGCTATATCCCTTTCAAGGAAAACTTGGAGAGCAGCATTTTTGCCTGCTTCTTTTGTGTTGAGCCCTGGAGGGATAGTCAGTTAAGACCTCTTCTTTATTTCCTATACTTCTGTGGGACTTGGCGAAAGGTAGCCCCAACTGGCTATGAGATCCAGGTGATTGTGAATCTATCCCTGGAGACAGCTGAGAAAGTTGGAGTGCAGACATGTATACAAGCTTCTTCCAGGAGATACTGGTGAGTTACTTGGAGCGGGCTGGAGGAAGAAGATGGGAGGTATCTGTTGGTTTTCCCAGTGTCTGGAGATGATGGCTGCCAGCAACTAGAGACATGCTAAATTAGAAACCTGGCCCTCAGGCAGCAGATCTTAAAGTATGCAAGTAAATCCCTTTCAGAGGAAGACTGGAAGATGGGCATTTTTGCCTGCTTTTTTTGTGTTGAGCTCTGGGATGATAGCTAGTTAACATTTGCCTCTTTATTTGCTGTATCCCTGTGGAACTCATGAATGGAAACTCCATTGGCTGTCAGAGCCAGGCAGTCCAGAGACCCAACCCTTCATCAGCAGCTGCAAAAAATGAGGTACAGATGTATATACAAGCTTCTCTCAGGGAATCACTGGTGACTTGGAGTAGGCCTGAGGAAGAAGATGGGGGAAATGTGTGCCAACTTTCCTAGTCTGTGAGGAGGATCAGAGCCCCTAGGTGCCTGCTGACATTTAGGCAGCAGCTTTTGAAATGTGCAGATAAAGTCCTTTCAGGGAAAAAAAAAAATGGGAGATGGATATTTTTTGTCTGTTTCCTCTATGTTGTACCTTCACCGAGATAGCCAGTTAAGAACTGCTTTTCTGTTTGATATAATTCTTGTGACTCCTATGGATGAAAACCTCACTGGCTTTCAGAACTAGGTGTTTGGGAACCTGTCTTAAATGTGGGAGTCTTGAAAGTTGGAGTGTTAGATGTGGGTCCCAACCCCCTTTGCTCCTCAAGAAGAATTTGGCAATTGAGAGTTCCATTCTGATTGTATGGCATGGGTTTTATGACAAAAGTGTGTCTCAGCCTTTCCTACCCATTTCAATGTATTTTCACTGAAGTAACTCAGCTGGTTTCTGGATCTTTTTCACGGGGAATTCCTCCATGTACAACTGTATATTTGGTATATCTATAGGAAGAACAAATCTCAGGAGCCTCCTATGTTACTATGTTGATTGATTCTATGTTTTGATTCTGTTCTCCTGAAGTACTGAAGTTACTATAGTTGGAAACATGGAAAATACTGACAGTGAAATGGGTACACATCAGAGGGACACAGACCCTAGCATCCTGTTCTGCCTCATGAATAAGTGGACTTACTATAAAAAGGAATCATGGCAAAGAAGGAAGACAGATAATGGCAAATTATTTAAAAATCTATCAGATTTAACAATGAACAGTCCAAAAAAAAAAAAAAAAGGAAAATAAGAAAACAATTACTTTACAATAGCATCAAAAAGAATAAAATATTTAGGAATAAATCTAACTAAGGAGGTGAAAGACTTGTACAGTGAAAACCACAAACACTGCTAAAAGAAATTTAAAAGAACACAAATAAATGGAAAGACATCTCATGCTCATGGATTGGAAGATTTAATATTGTTAAGATGTCCATAGTACTAAAACTGATCTACTTGTTCAATGCAATCTCTATCAAAATTCCAACACCATTTTTTGAAGAAATAGAAAAATTTATCCTAATATTTTAATGGATTCTCAATGGGCTTTGAATAGCCAAAACAACTTTGAGATTAAAAAAAAGTTGGAGGACTCATACTTCTTGATTTTATTTTATTTTTTGTTCATTTTTAAAAAACTTTATTTTTTCAGTGTTCCAAGATTCATTGTTTATGTACCCCACCCAGTGCTCCATGCAATACATGCCCTCCTTAATACGCACCATCAGGCTCACACATCTCTCCACCTCCCTCCCCTCTAAAACCCTCAGCTTGTTTCTAAGAGTCCCCAGTCTCTCATGGTTCATTTCCCCTTTGATTCCTCCAATTCACTTTTCCTTAAAACATATCACAAAGCCATAGTAATCAAATCAGTGTGGCATTTGTATAAAGACAGTCAACTACATCAATGGTATAGAGAGCCCAGAAGTAAATCCTTACCTATATAGTTAAATGTTCTTTGCAAAGCATGCCAAGACTACCCAGTGTGTGTGGTGGGGGAGACTCCTTCACAAATATTTTTGGTAAAACTGGGTATATGTACGCAAAAGAGTTAAGTGGGCCCCTTATCTTTTACCATATACAAAAATTAAACTAGATTAAAGACATCTTAAAGATCTAAGACTATAAAACTCCTATAAGAAAACAAAGAGGGAAAAATTCATCATGTAGAATTTGATAGTGTTTTCTTGGAATATGACATCAAAAACACAGAAAACACAAGCAAAATGGAAAAAATATGACTACATTAAGCTGAAAAACTTTTGGGTATCAGGGGCTCAATCAACAGAGTGAAATGGCAAGCTACAGAATGAGAGAAAATATTTGCAAATTACATATGTGATAAGTGATTAATATATCCAGAATAAGTAAAGAATTGCTACAACTCAACAATGACAAAAATAACTGGATTAAAAATAAGCCAAGGCCTTGAATAGACATTTTCTAAAGAAGAAATACAAATGACCAACAAGCATTTGAAAAGATGGTCAACATTAGTAATTATCTGAAAAATGCAAATCAAAACCACAATGACTTATTACCTTATACTCATTAACGTGCCTACTATTAAAAATAACACAGGGAGTAATTAATGTTAGTTGAATATGTGGAGAAATTGGAACCCTTGTACACTATGGGATTGTAAAACGATGCAACTGCTGTGGAAAACAGTATGGCAGTTACTCAGAAGATAAAAACAAAACTACCATATGATCCAATAATCCTACTTTTGGCTATATATCCAAAAGAATTCAAAGCAGATATTCAAGAGATATTTACATTTCCATGTTCATAGCAGAACTATTCACAGTACCTAAGAGTAGAAGCACCCCAAATGTTTATCAACAGCTGAATGGATAAACAAAATGTGGTATATACATACAATGGAACATTATTCAGCCTTAAAAAGCAAGGGGATCCTTTTTACATTTTTCCACATACTACAACATGATGGACCTTAAGGACGTTATGTTAAGTGGGATAAGCCAGTCACAAAAAGACAAATACAATCGGTTCCTTTTATATGAGGTATCTAAAATAATAGAATTCATAGAAACGGAAATTAGAGTGGGGGTCATCAGGAGCTAGGGTGGAGGAAATAGGAGTTATTTAATGGCTATAGAGTTTCAGTTTTGCAAGATGAAATAGTTCTAGATACCTGTTTTACAACAATATGCATATACTTAAAACTACTGAACTATATATTTAAAAATGGTTAAGATGATGAATTATTTTTTTAATAGTACCATGCAGGTTTATTAATCATTCAAGTACAGTACCATCTGGTAAGATCTGGATAGATTGGGGTTTAAAATGAGCAGATGTTCAGCATCCAATAGTTTAAAAGAAGCCACTATATACTCTTTTCACAAACATCAAACATGTTTTCACAGAGCTAGTATGGTATTAGCCACTAACCCAGAATTCCAAGTGTACTGAAGTAGAAAAGAGATGCAACAAGAAAAGTAGTTACTTTAGAAACAAGAAAGTAGTTAGTTTCTAAAGTAACTACTTTTAGAAAAGTAGTTTCTAATTTCTAAAGTAACTACATTTAGAAAAAATGCAACATTCAGTTTTTCCCCTTTAGCCCATAAAACAACATCATACTGTCTAGATCTACCAATACAGTCCTACATCAGCTTCTAGAATATTTGTTAGGAGGGCAAATGTAAAATGATGCTGGCCAGTATAGTCTTTGGATATTTGGGAAAGGGAAGGGGAAAAAGTCGGTTCTCAGAACAAATTAGTCAGTGTCAGTTTTATCAATAGGATCTTTGGATTCTTTGTTTGCCCACACTTCTTCAACATACTTGTCCTTCTCTCACAAGCGTTCCAGTTTGGCAGCCATTTATGCCTCCCGATTCTCTTTGTTGGCTTCCATTTTGTGAGTCAGTTTTTCTTCTGCCATTTTACTGAAGTTGTTCTTTCCTTCTGTTGCTTTTTGAAGCACTTCTTTCTCATGCTGTCCTTTCTCAGCAAGCTGCTTCAAGACCTCTGCTTTATGGGACTTGTGTTTTTCTTCTGCAGCTTCTGATTTCTTCCAAATTTCCTCTAGGGAAAGATCCTTCTTCTTTGGAGGGGAAAGGGGGAATTCTGGGATGAATTCTTTTGGTTGAGGGCTGACAATCAACTCAAAAGCTTGGCCTGAGTCATGCTTCTCCAGTTTTTTCACTGGGGTATCAGAAGTAGCCACTGTGAACAGCAGACAAGAGACTGGCAGTGCGTTCTACAGAACCCAGTGGCAAGGAAAACCATGCTCAGTCCAAGCCACCTGGCCATATTTTCCAAGATGGTAAATTTTATGTTAGGTACTTTTTTAATCACAATTTTAAAAACTGAAAATATGATGTGGTTTTTGAACTCTGTGTAGATTCTGATGTATTGATTAAGGATATACCATAGTTCATTTCATAAATCTATAAAGATGCCTTCAAAATTATCTGTTTCCTTCCTCCAGTAGTAGGAAGTATATAGTCTTATTCTGAAGGAAGGAAAATGTAAACACAAACAAGCAAATTCCTTTCTCCCCCATGTGGTTCATTTCCAAATTACTTTAGAAATTGACTTAACTAAAGGAATCCCCAGCTCTTCCTGACACCAGTTCTTTTAAAGTTAACTTTGAAAGGCTCTGGAAAAGGCAAATGAAAAGGTCAGAGTCTATCTTCTGCAACTTACCCCATTAGAAAATTTCTAGCACTATGTCTGTGCCCTTCTGTTATAGGTATAGTATAATTTGACAAGTGTTGATTTGTGAAGGAAAGTGAGGAATAAAAAAGAAATGCAAGTTGAAAGAAATAAAATCACATCTGATATTTAGAGACATTTAGAAGGCGTCTCTTAACTATTCTACTTAACATGTTTTCTTGACCTTACTGAGGTTGTTTTTCCTTTATTCTACAGCTGAAGATAACTTCATCTTTAGTTTGTTCCTTCCATTCCTTTAGTTCTTTTATGCTTCATTCATTCATTCAGCATTTGGTGCCTATAATCATCTTATAAGTTTCTTTTAGGTCTTTAGAGTCTTTACAACATCCCTGTTAAGGCAGTCTGAGATGCAATGTCATACCAGAGAGGAAGAAATGACCAGAGTTATTCTACTGTTAGTAAATGTGAGGGCCTATTGCCTGTTTATTTTTGATTGCCCTCTTCTGGAGGTTTCTTCATGGTTTCTTCTGGAGTCTATACTTCTCAGTTTTCATAGTAAGCAATATTGGAACTATTTCATTAGATATTATGAAAGGTTAGAGAGTATGAGGCAGTAGGGAGAGGGTATATTTGTAGTCTTCCAGTAGTGTCTGATCTATCTCTTGTATTTAGAACAGAGAATAAATCTTTTCAGTTATTAGGGATTATTAGTAACATTTCTTGAATGGCCAATGGTGCCATTATGGATACTGCTATTTTAACTGAGATTCCAGAATAATAAGGTAGAACAGTTTTTTGAATGCCTACTTTTGCTAGACATAGTCATTTTTTCCTTATAATGCTATGATGTATGCATAATTTATTATTCTCTTTTATGTGAATAAGAGAATTGAATTTGGGCAACTGCCTCAAGATCATCCAGCCAATAAATGAAAGACAAGGGATCCAAACCTAGGATAATCTGTCTCCAAAGTGTCCCTAAGCTTTCTATCTTGATAATTGGCCAAATTTAAAATACTTACTAGCTACAATTTTATCTCAAGAGGAGTAATTTTATGTATGATACCAATTTCACTTCAGGAATGCATAGATTGGCACTTTTAACCCTTCTTTCTTTTTTTTTTTTTTAAGATTTTGTTTATTTATTTATTTGACAGACAGAGATTACAAGTAGGCAGAGAGGCAGGCAGAGAGAGAGGAGGAAGCAGGCTCCCTGCTGAGCAGAGAGCCTGATGCGGGGCTCGATCCCAGGACCCTGGGATCATGACCTGAGCCAAAGGCAGAGGCTTTAACCCACTGAGCCACCCAGGTGCCCCAAACCTTCTTTCTTGACATAAAGCCATTTTATCTTCATAAAGACATTTGCATGAAAATGAGCCAATCCAGGTTGTAGTCTTTCATCTGTTCAATCCACATCATAGTGGTTTATCTGTTCACATTTTCCTTATTTCTTACCTGAAAGCATAAGACTTGCTGTGCTGAAAGATGACAAATAAAGAATTTAATCAAAACCCAGAAGTGAAATCTAGAGCTAAGAGTCCTTACCAAAATGTTTTGAGTCAAGAGGAATAACATTGAGATTAGTAATTTTTTTTTTTACTGATGAACACAGTGTCTGGGCATGTGCCTGTAGTGAAAGACATGGTAAAAGTAGGGATATTTTAAGAGTTTGTTAGTGTGCAACACTTAACTTTTGGAAATCATTCTCTAGATCATATGAAACATTCTTAAGTGTACCCACATGTCTCATTAAATGTAATATTTGTGCAGTGAACAGGATGTAAATGCTTTTTATAGTTTTGTTTTTGAAATTATGTTTAGTTCTGATTTCTAAAGAATCATTGTGCTTACTAGAGAACTACTTTGACATGAGACAATCTAACCTACAAATTGTTCTGGGTCCTTAAATTGTTATTAGTATTAAATTTAACAATATATGAAATAAATATAACATTTATTTTGTGGCTGTTTTTTTGTTTTGTGTTTGGAGTCAGTAAATCTTAAAAAAAAAAGAAATATCATTTACATACAATTCACACATTACATTGTGCAGTTCAGTAGATTTTAGTACACTCACAGATAAATGCTGCAGTCACAATAGTAGATTTTAGAGCATTTTTATCACCTCAGAAAGAAACTCCACCCACTTTAGCTATTACGCTCCCTACTTGTTTCCCTTCACTCCCTCTTTAGCCCTAGGCAATGGCTAATCTTTTGATCTCTATAGATTTGTCAGTTCTGGATATTTTATATAAATGGAATAATATGCAGTCTTTTGTTACTGGATTCTTCTACTTAGCATAGTGTTTTCAAGATTTATCCACGTTGTAGCATGTATCAGTAGTTTGCTAATTAATATGGTTGAATAATATTTCCATTGTATGGATATACCACATTGTGTTTATCAATTTATAAATTGAACTTGAGGGTTATTTCTACCTCTTCCTATAGTGAACAGTATTGCTTAAGTATTTGTGTACAACTACTTCCAATTATTTTGTGTATATATAAGAAATGGAATTACTGCATCATATGGCTACTCTGTATTTAAATGTTTGAGGAACTGCTATTCCAAAGTGGCTGTACCATTTTACATTCTTACCAGCAGTGTATGAGAGTTCTGATTTTTCCACATCCTTGTCAACACTTCTTACTATCTGGCTTTTGATTTTAATGTTCTATTAGGTATGAAGTACTATTTCATGGCTTCAATTTATATTTCTCTGATAACTAATGTTGAGCATCTTTTTATGAGCTTGTATATTTTCCTTGGAGAAATGTTTATTTAAATATTTCATCTCCTTTTTTTTTAATGGCTTATTTATCTCTCTAGTATTGAGTTTTAAATGTTCTTTGTATACTTTGTTTTTTTGTTTGTTTTAAAGATTTTATTTATTTATTTATTTGAGAGAGAGAGTGAGAGGGAGCATGAGCGAGGGGATAGAGGGAGAGAGAAGCAGGCTTGTTACTGAGCAGGGAGCCCAGTTCGGGGCTTGATCCCATTACCCTGTGATCATGGCCTGAGCTGAAGGCAGATGTTTAACCAACTGAGCCACCCAGGTGCCCCATGTATACTTTGGATACAAGTCCCTTATCATATATATGGTTTATTTTTTTGTCCATCTTGTGGGTTGGCATTTTACTTTCTTGGTGGTATCCTTGGGAGCACAGAAATTTCTGATTTTGATGAAATTTAGTGTATCTATTCTTCTTTTGTTGCTTGTTGCTTGTCATAGCCAAGAATCTTCTCCAAACCCAAGGGGACTTATCCTTTGTTTTCTTTTTAAGAGTTTTATAGTTTTATAATTATGTTGTTTATCCATTTTGAGCTAATTTTTGTGTATGTGTAGGGCAAAGGTCCTATGTTTTGCATGTGGCTATCCAGTAATTCCAGCTCCATTTGTTGAAATCTAGCTATTAAGTGGTCTTGGTGCCCTTGTGAAAGATCAGTTGGCCATAGACACCTGATTTTATTTCTTAACTCTTAATTCTATTTCATTCATCTATCTGTTTATCCCTTTGCAAGTACCACACAGTTTTGATTACCATTGCCTTGTAGTAAGTTTTAAAATCAGGAAGTGTAAGTCTTCCTACTTTGTTCCTCTTTTTCAAAATTGTTTTGTCTATTCTGGGTCCCCTATAATTATGCATGAATTTTAAAATCAGTCTGTCAGTTTCTACAAAGAAGTTAGCTGAAATTCCTAAAGTATTGTGTTGAATTTGTAGATCAGTTTGCAGTATATTGTCATGTTAAGTCTTCTAACCCATGATCATGGATTTTTTTTCCATTATAATTGATTTTTATATATTGTCTTTATATCCTGAAAACTTGCTGAATTCAGTTTTTTAAAGATTTTTAAATTTAAATTTGATTGATTAATATGTGATGTATAATTGGTTTCAAAGGTACAGGCCTGTGATTCCTCAATGCTCATTATATAGCACCCAGTGCTCATTATTTCACATGCCCTCCTTAATGTCCATCAACCAGTTACCCCATGCCTCCACCCCCTCTCCTCCAGCAACCCTCAGTTTGTTTCCTATTATTAAGAGTCTCTTATGTTTGTTTGCCTCTATGGTTTCATCTTGTTTTATTTTTTCCTCCTTCCCCTATATATCCTCTGTTTCATTTCTTAAATTCCACATATCGGTGAGATCATATAATTGTCTTTCTCTGATTGACTTATTTTGCTTAGCATAATACCATCTAGTTCCATTCCCGTAATTGCAAATGGCAAGATTTCATTTTTCTAATAGCTGTGTAATATTCCATTGTATATATATTTATATACTACATCTTCTTTATTCATTCATCTATCAATGGACATGTGGGCTCTTTCCATAGTTTGGCTATTGTGGATGTTGCTACTATAAATATTGGGGTGCAGGCCCCCCTTTGGGTCACTACAATCGTGTCTTTGGGGTAAATACCCAGTAGTGCAATTGTTGGGTCATAGCGTAGCTCTATTTTAAACTTTTTGAGGAACCTACGTAGTATTTTCCATTTCTTTTAGTTTTAATCATTTTTTTAGTGCATTCCTTATGATTTCATGTATATAGAATCATGCAGTCTGTGATTTGAGATAGTTTTAACTTCCTCTTTTCTAACCTGGATGTATTTTATTTCTTTTTCTGGCCTAAACTGCCCTGGGTTGAACCTCCAGTACAATGTTGAACAAAGGTGCTGAAAGAAAGCCATTTTTGTCTTGTTACTGATCAAGCAAAAACAAAGACTAGATGTCCTTCACCCTTAACTATGGGTTAGGGTATCTAGTCTTTCACCCTTAACTATGATATTAACTCTATGTTTTTTAAAGATGACTTTTATCAAGTTGAAGAAGTTCCCTTGTATTCCTTGTTTGACTTGTGTCTTTATCATGAAAGTTACTGGACGTTTCAAATGCTTTTCTTGTGTCTATTGAGATAATCATGTGATTTTTATTTTTCATTTTATTGGTATGATGTATTACATTAATTGATTTTTCAGATGTTAAACTAACCTTGCATTCCTGGGGTAAATCCCAGTTGGTCATAGTGTATAAGTATTCAATTTGCTAGTATTTTGTTGGGGATATTTGTATCCATATTCATAAGAGATACTGGTCTGTAGGTTTTTTTTTTGTTTTTTTGTTTTTTTTTTGTGAGGTCTTTGTCTGATTTTGGCATCAGGGTAATACAAAGTGATGAGTTAGGAAGTGTTCTGTCCTCTTATATTTTGGAAGAATTTGTGAAGAATTGGTATTAATTCTTTGGTATAATTCCCTAGTGAAGCCATCTGGCCTTGGCTTTCCTTAATTAGGTTTGGTTAATAATGCGTTCTCTTCACTTATAGATCTTTTGAGATTGTCTATTTCTTCTTAAGTCAATTCAGTAGTTTGTGTTTTCCTAGAACTTTGTTATTTCATCTAGATTATCTAATTCATTGGCATATAGTTGTTCATGGTATTCCTTTATTTATTTATTTTTAAAGATTTTATTGATTTATTTGGGAGTGAGGAGAGAGAGAGAGAATGAGTCAGGGGAGGGAGAGGGAGAAGCAGGCTCCCAGCTGAGCAAGGAGCCCAATGCAGGGCTCGATCTCAGGACCTCTTTTTTCCCTATGAGTTTGGTAGTAATAGCCTCTGTTTTATTTCTGACTCTAGTATTTTGAGTTTCTCTGTTTTTTTCTTGGTTGATCTATCTATAGATTTGTCAAAATTGTCGATCTTTATAAAGAATTAGGTTTTGTTTTTATTGATTTTTCAATATTGTTTTTGTATTCCCTATTTCATTAATTCTTGCTCTAATTTTTATTAATAAAATAATTTTAATTTTTTGCTTCCTTTAGATTTTATTTGCTCTTTTCTAGTGTTTTAAGGTGGAAGTTTAGGTGTATTATTTGAGATCTTACTTTTTAAAAATATTTTATTTATTTATTTGACAGAGAAAGACATAGTGAGAGAGAGAACATAAGCAAGGGCGGAGGGAGAGGGAGAAGCAGGCTTCCCACCAAGCAGGGAGCCCGATGCTGGGCTGGATCCCAGGACTCTGGGATCCTGACCTGATCCGAAGGAAGATGCTAATGACTGAGCCACCCAGGCACCCCTCTTCTTTCTACATAGTAAGCATTTACAGATATAAAACTTTCATTAAGCATTACTTTAACTAAATCCCATATGTTTTGTATGTATGCTGTATCTTTATTTTCCTTCATCTCAAAATATTTTGTGTTCTTATTTGATTTCTTCATTGATCCATTGATTATTCAGATGTTGTTTAATTTCCATGGATTTTCCTAATCTTTTTCTGTTTTTCTACTTTCATCCCATTTTGATTGGAAAACCCACTTTGTATTATTTCTCTCCTTTTAAACTTTTGAGATTTGTTTTACGGACTAGCATATGATCTAGCCTGTCTTCCTCATGTGTTTAAGAAGAATGTATATTCTGTCATTGTTGGATGACATATAGATCATATAGGTATCATATAGGTATCTGTTAAGTCTGTTTGATTTATAGTGTTGTTCCACTCTTATATTTCCTTGTTAATCTGCATAGGTGCTCTATCCATTATTAGAAGTTGAATATTGAAGTCTCCAACTATTGCTGAATTGTCTTTCATTTCCTAGCATTCAGCTAATAACTTTTATAATCTCATTTTTTTAGGGCACTCAGTTATCACAGGCCAAGATCACTATGCCTCTGGTGCTCAGTGGGGAAAATGGTGCATGGCAGAAAGTCTTCACTGACAAGGTCTGAATGTTTTGACAGATATGAACTTGTTTTGTCAAGATTATTTACTCTGGATTTGGACCCAGACCTCTGGATTTCCAATGATCTAATTTCCACTGATTGAGGATGGGGGCTAAATTCATTCTAAATAGAAAGATTGTTTTTAGCTTACCAAATGTTAAAAACAAGGAGAAATTCATTTTATTAACTGGGGGTAAAAAGAGAGTCTGATTTCTTCCTTAGATATTATGTGTAGAGGCAACAAAACAAGAAAGGAATAAGAAATAATTACAGAATAATGTAATTTATTGTTAGTGGGGAAAACTGAGTAACTTACTGAGAAACTATTTGCTTCCATTAAACCCACTTACCTTCGAGTCGCTATTGCTGAACTTATATTCTCAAGATGTATGGTAATGAAAACACCCCTGGTCAAAGACACTCTGTTTCTAAATGGGCCTTCTATCCTGAATTTTTTTTCACTTATCTTTCCATATGAGTGAGGCATAGTTACCTCTTTTATGATTATCCCTTGAAATTACCATAAGACCTAGGTCTGGGCATCCCAATGAGGTCCTTTCTTTCTTTGGGGGTAGACTCTTGTTCCCTTAGCTAACTATGGTCAAAGATGTCCCCAAACAAAAGTCTGGATCCCCAAGCATTTGCCAAAGAGAAGAAAAAATGGAGGATGTAATGCCATATTTCTGTCATCCTTTATTTCCATCCATAAAATGTTCCATCTGTTTATACCAAGGGAAAGAGTGAGTTCAAGGTATCATTTCATAGTGGCTTTACTGTGTACCCCTAACATGGCATTGTGCCTTGATAACATGACAGAACCTTTGCTTGCGGCATTTGAAGTGGAAGTGCTGCAGATGATTGCTTCGTCACTAACTCTGGCAAAGGGGCTTGTGGAAAAATACTGTGGACCTTATGAGTGAATTTCTTTTTAATATATTAGTGTTTAATAATACAGTTATAGCCAATGAGTAATAAATACTTAACAGACTTTAACTTCCTAGTAATAAACAATTTTTTAAGCTAAAAAAAAAAGGGTCTAATAAGAGTAGAATATATGACAAGTTAAGTTTTGACTAGAAGTTACTGTGAGGTAAAGACCTAAGTAATGAGGCCCTACTTAGTTTGGGCCAGTCAGAGAAGGACACTACATGGGAATATCTGTCCCACCAGGAGGCATTAAGAAGAATTTAAGTGCTGAGGGTTTTGCACAAAGTGACAGAGTAGAGAGTAAGTGATGTTTGGAGGGGGCCAAAGAAAACTTTCCTTTTTCATAAATTTGCCTACAGCTAACTCTGCCCTGTTGACATTAAACTGGGCATCACCAATTTCTGGATCTTAAGACATATAAAAGTAAAAATATTATGTATTACCTAATTAATTTTTAAATAACAGCATTTATTATTTTGGGACACTTTCTCAGATTGCATCAACCCATGACAGCAAGTAATGGTGGACATTCATCACTTTTAATGATCCAAATGAGCACTCCCTGTATTTCCTATACTGTTCCCCAGAGTTACTCAGAATAAATCCTTGGGAATGCAGAAATTCTATAGAACATTTACTTCAAAGTGCTTGTAGGACTTCCTGGTTTGATACATAAGCCTTCGGAAACTTAGCAATCTTTATAAACAGTTTTATTGCCCCAAATGAAACAATAATTCCAGAGGGAGTGTCCTTTTGGGGTTTCTGATTACATTCAGAGTTACCAGAGAGGTGCTATTGATCACGGAGATTAAAAAAAATAATAAAAACAAAAGCTCTGTTCCTGGAGCCCCAACCTCTGTTAGAACAGTTTGTCCTACATCTAGAGGCCTCAAGGAATGAAAGACTGGGCCTCTGGGCTTTGTCTCCAGAGTCCTAATCTACGTTAGGAGTGAAAGATGATCACAGGAAGTATATGTGGGAGTGTACTATCGTGTGCATGTTGGAAGGAGGAAGCAAGGAGGAAAGAATGGAGGGAGCCAATTCCAGATCTTGCATGACTTTAAAACTTGAACCTTTATTGAGTAAGTTAAAGCCAAATCCTCAACCTCAAAATCTCAAATGCCCTTTGAGTTGCTTAGGACTTAGCTTAGAACGTCAAGAATAAGAGAAAAGAAATCTCAGCCACTGCACCTGCTCGTGCTTCATTCTTATTTACTCATATCCAAGATCTGAGGGATTATTTTTATGCTGGGTTAAGGTCTAAGGTAGTTTTAGGCCTGAACTTCTTTCCATCTGCCCCTCCTGGGCTTCTTTCACCCATTATCCATCTTGGGTCTTTCTCGATGTTACTCTTCCCCTTTGAGGCAGTAAAGAGAGAATTGATCCCTCTGGCTTGATTTATTTATTTATTTTTTAATTAAAAAAAATTATTTATTTGTTTGACAGAGAGAGAGAGAGAGAGAGATCACAAGTAGGCAGAGAGGCAGGCAGGAAGAAGGCTCCCTGCTGAGCAGAGAGCCCAATGTGGGGCTCATCCCAGGACTCTGGGATCATGACCTGAGCTGAAGGCAGAGGCTTTAACCCACTGAGCCACCCAGGCGCCCCCCTCTGGCTTGATTTATAATCCCTTTGTTTCTCTCTGTGAGAATCAAATGAAGGGAATGAATTTTGATCCCCTTTAAAAATCATTTTCCTCTCCCCTCTCTCATCTGTCCCTTTACTCCTAACCCTTTCCCACAATGATGGCAATCATTGATTATAATATTGATCTGATAGTAAATACTGGAGGATGCCATTACAGCACCGATCTACTGAAGATCTTGTTCTTCCTGAACTTGGGTGAAATCAAGGGAGGCCTCTGCAAGGTCATGTCTCTGTTGCCATAGAAACTGAGAGGAGAAAATTGTTTCAAATATTAACAAAAAGGCAGTTTGGGGTTGATATATTTTTTCCCATGTTATACTTTTAAGAAATCATATTATTCTTATGCTTTGCAGATGAGAAAATTGAGTCTGAGACAGGTTAAGAAACTTGTCTGATGTCTTAAAAATGGCACAACTCAGACTTCTTGATTGGACTAGTTTTCTTTCCACTACGCATGGCTACTACTTAACAGTTTATTATTTTATGTTTTGTTTATTTTTATAAAAGGTTGTGGCCAAGAGAATTTCCCAATCATAATGTATGAAGTTAGTCTGATTCAGGTTAGAAGAATGAAGTCTTGAGAATATTTCCTAAGAGAAAAAGAAGAGAAAGGAAGAAAAAAAATTTAGATTAGGTATTATATATCAAGGACTATTTATAATAAAGAACCAGTGGGTACCACACAGTTGTTTTATTAAATACAGAGTCAATTTAAAGATCTACAGGGACTCACTGAAAGAAAAGTGTTGTGTCATTGGATTAGAAAAGAGCACTCACATGAATACAGTGTGTTTTTGTATATTTGGTTTCTTTTGATCTTATTTTGGTTTGTCAAATACAGTACAACTAAATGAACAACTTCTGGTAAATGATTTATAAGGAGTAGGGTGTAACAAATGATAATGATTATGAAAAATGTCCTTTAGTAAGATGAGTTTAGGAGCACAAGCACTTGCCTTTCTTCTCTTCTGCAACCGACTTCTCTCCTTCACCCTGAATTGCTGTCCGAAAGGACAGAACCAATATGTATTTCTACTGATTGTATACGTGGGTACTACTTACTTCACTTTCTTGCTAACACTGCATACTATTGATTCCTTTATAAAATTTAAGCACTCAAATATGGTAAAATTAAATCTTAATTTATAGTTTCCTGATTACCAATGAGTTTGAGTCTATTTTCTGATAATAGCAATAATAACTATGTTTATTGAGTGGATATACTATAACAATTATGAGTTAGAATATCTGATCCTTACATTGTAGATCAAAAGGCATAGAAGGATCAATGACTTGTCCAAAATCACTCAGCTAGGAAGTGATAACCTAGACTTGAATCCAGATGGTCTGACTCTATTTTTTTTTAAAGATTTTATTTATTTTTTGACATAGAAAGAGAGTGAGAGAGAGAGAGAGCACAAGCAGGGGGAGCTGCTGGCAGGCACAGGGACGGGGAGAAGCAGGCTCCCTGCTGAGCAAGGATCCCAATTCGGGGCTCTATCCCAGGACCCTCGGATCATGACCTGAGTCGAATGCAGCCACCTAACTGACTGAGCCACCCAGATGCCTCTAGAGCCTCATACTCTTAAGAGTTATGAGCTTTGTTACATTTTTTCATTTGTTTACTGTTCGTGTGGATTTCCTTTTATGTGATGATCTATTTTTCAGATCCCTTGTCCTTTGCTTTATTTACATAGCCACTTGATGATGAAACTGTATTACCTAATGAAAGTGGCTTTTTGTTGTTGTTGTGTTTCCAATACCTTGGACCTATAATAGCATATCAAAAGACCCAACTTGGAGTAGATCAACAGGAAATGACTTTAATAATTTTTAGAAATTCTTAGACTTGTAAAATGATGTAGCAAACCATTAGGGACTATTTTGTGTTTTGTTATGATAATGGAGAAATTTCTAGGTCTTTATTTTCAATGCTTAAAAATAGTAATTTAAAATGTTTATTATATTTTAAAAATGAATATTTAGTGTTTAGGCCTACTTAAGACATTCCTAAATTAAGCACTTAAAAAACCCAACTTTTAATTTTATTTTTTTCCAAGGAGATGTAGTTGCCAAGGATATTTTAATCTATGAGAATATTGCACAATTTTAATTGGCAGAAAACATTTGTACCAACCAAGTTAAAAATTGCTTGAGAGAGGCTTCCAACAAAATTGTCAATCTGAGATGTTGACTTCCTTTTTCCCTGTTGAAATAGTGAAGGTCACACATTCCACTTAGTATGTTTTGGTTAGTTTTACAAAAATGAATACAGACCAACTTCTGCTCTTTCTCTTAATTTTTCTGGATTAATTTGTTTACAGAGTTTTTGCCGTCAGTTAAATTCTTTATTTAACTATTTATTAAAGGAATACAGAGAAGTTACCTGCTTGACTTCAGTAACATAAACCAGCCAGAATAAACACACACACACACACACACACACACACACAGAGACACACACACACACAGAGTCACTGACACACACAACACCCTGTGTTTGGTGAATATTTGAATATTGTTCTCAGTTGTTTTAATAGTATAATTTCAGTTGTCATATAATTCTAGATTCAAATGGGAAGTAGAATGAAACCAATGATCAAGTATTGGCTAACCATGGACATTTCTTTGGAAATGTTTAGTTCACATTATTGCTATCATGTTTGTGCCATGCCTGCCCTGAAAACAAGTGAAAGACTGAAGGGTTTGCTTGGCTGGTATCACCAACACTGGATGTTGGCCAAACTGAGGATGAATCTCCTTTGCATTCATGAGAATGGCTACACAGCCTAGGATTGTCTCTTGCTTTTTCAAAACTTCCATTGCTCATTTTCTCACTATGTTTTGATGTAGATTCCATGGAAGCAAGTGGGAAAGGTTGCACAGAGGTAGGGAAAGAGTCAGCCTATAAGCCAC